ACATGACTGTAATGACTCTGGTTACTTCAACTGAAGGAATCAGTGGAGACCAAGCTGTGAAGGACCCAACAAAGCTTTAGCCATTACTTACAAACCAAAACTAAGTACACTTTAGTTTTTACTACTAAGAAACTAAGCTGAAAACTCAAAGGAAATGGGTCAATTAAATTTTTTTTAATTTCTTATCAATTTGACTTAAAATGAATAGACACTATGTGTCTATTTCTAAAAGAAGATGAATTTTGTGTCAGATTCTCTGTAATCCAAAGAAGACAATGGTTGCCCTGGGAAACAATGATTAGAAACCTATGAAACACAAATTCTAGTTTAATATTGGTGAGGAAAAAAATGTGATCTTGAAGAATGCCTCTTTTTTGTGTGTATTTTATATATTTTCATCCTTAACATCCCAAGGTCAAAACTCCAATGGCTTTCTATTGCCTGGACAATAAATGATCATTTCTTCAGACTATATTAAGAATAATTTAGGGCCAGCCTGTGGCTTGGAGAGTACAACAGCTACATCCCACATGGCCCACATCATGATTTGAGTCCCAGACCTGCAGTTTGAGAAACACACTAGATACAAATGCCTGCCTAAAATCCTGGGAGGACAGAGAGGGAGGAGAAGGGATTGGGGTGTGACCATGCCATATAGGAGGTGTCTCTTCCTGCAACTGGACACACCCTGTAGCAAAATTATTTTTAAAGAAAGAAAAAAGAAAAAATACCTTAAAAATAAGCAAACAAGATTCTTTTTTCTTATTTTTTTTTAATTTTTTCCCCCTGGATTACTGAATTTTATGTCATTTTCTTGTTTAGAAGCCCCACTGATGTATTTTGGCTTCAGTTCATTACCTCAGACTATCTCTACTCATCAGGACTAATTTTAATTTATGTGATGAAATCTTGTGATGACCCTCTCTCAGATGATCTCCCTTTCTTTGAACTCAGCATGTTTTACCTTTAGGTTCAATAGTTTGAATAAGACATATGTAGTGATTTCGAGACTTTTCCGGGGCGGGGTGTGAGGGCTGGAAGTGGCCTGTTTCCTACCCACAGACAGACTTCACCACATAGCAATGTAGTGGTCCTTTTACAAAAATCCACATACTGTTCCTTAGCCCCACAGATTTTGAATTGATTTGTTAAATAAAAAACATACTGGATGCCTCTCCCAGGAGGAGATTCACACCAGCTCACAAATACCCCAATACACCAGAGTGACATGAGAAACTGACAGGGCAATGGAAAGCAGCCGGTGAATTTCTCTGTGCATTCTTTCATTATGTGCAAGTTACCTGAGGCCAGTTTATCATTAGCGAGGGACCACTGAGTCAAATCAAGTGTTACTTACACAAATGACACATTTAGTGGAATCAGGCTAATGCAAATGCCAGAGACATCTATCTCCACACTAAGGATAACCTTTCCATGGGACCATAAGATTTAAACACCTAGGATGAACACTGCTTCCTGCT